TCAAATACTATTTATAAATTATTCATTTGCAAAACATTTCCCTGTTAATAACAAATGAAGGTTTTAGAAAAATGGAATGTCAGGGTTACCAAAACTTGTTGATTTCGATACATCTTAACTTTGCGCAGTATCCTACCTCCTAACAAACAAGTGATGACGTCCCCTTGTTACACTTCACAGTAATTATCAATTATTGTAATGAATAGATCATCTTTAACTAGATCTCTATGCTTCTAATGATGATGATTATCAAAAAGGAAAGGTCTTGACTGGAGTTTCGGGAAACTGCTTCCACGCGTTCGGATGCACACGGAATGGAAGGAAAAAATCTACAAGCGTACACTTTCCTGATGTCTATGTCTGTGTCACACTCTAACGTCCCATAATCGTAGCAACACATGGGGTACAATTTGTATCTATCAGAGGCCAGTTCGGCTACGAGATGAGTAGGTGTAAGGATGTGACGTATAAACGAGTTGACCCTCAGTCAAACTCAGAGCGAGATAGGGCAGTTTGGCCACGGAATAAACTGTGTTGACTGAGCTGGGCTAAGCCCTAGGCTCCCACTAGTAACACGAGTTAGAGCGTGTCAGAGATGAACGCTGATGAGGAACAGAGGGCTTGGAAAAAGCTTGTTCAGGGAGACGTGTAGTAGGACAATGGACTGGACAGATGTGGGACTACCATGGTAAACGTATCTTAGTTTAGTGACGGTTAGATAGAAAAGTATTTGTGGTTAGTATTTTAGATAGGTTGTATTTCCATACAGTGTTTTGACGAGATAGTGCAGCGTTTATGTTTCTTGTATAGTAGACGTTCTACGCAGTATCTGTTAAGCAGGTAGTTAATGTGTGATACACACTGTTGTTAGCGTTAACACGGCCCTCTCATACTTAGATCATTCACCTTACGTGTGTCACTGAGTCCCGCGTGGCAGTGATATGCTAACCAAGCGCAATCAACTAAAGAGAACATCAATGCTCTATTCGCCAGGCTTGAAAACACCCAGATAGCAGACGATAAGCGCCGACAGGAAGAAGGGGAGGAGAGAAGAAAGGAGCTGGCCGAACTAACTAGTGCACGCGAAACCACATACCGAGAAGTCGCCACACTTGTGCAAGTGAGCGCAGAGGCCGAAGCAGCCACACAAGCCATAAAGTCAGAACGTGCCCTGCTAGAAAAAGAAAAAAACACCGCCAGGAATGCAATCAGCAGAGCTGACAAAAGCACCTGCACTGACAAACTCAGAACAACGAAAAACCAGGCACAGATGACCGAGGCACCAGAGCACAGAGACCAGGGCACAGAAATGGATAGCTCGGAACCAGACTATGAATCTGAGCAAGAAACCGACCAGATATATTCCGATGAAGACACAGAAACAGTAGATACGGAAACGTCCCCAGCCGCAGACGAGGCCACAGCCCGTCCTGAAACAAAAGAAATAGTAATCCCCGAGGACATAAGCCAAGACGGCCTAAGGGAAATTGTGCAAACCTTCAACTCACATGAGGGTATCCCGCTCAAGATCAAATTCATAAAAGGCGAATACTATATCATCTACGACGACGACATATGGTCCAACAGCAATCTCGAATTCGACGACGAAAGCAAAGCCTACATGTCAAAACTGTACAGGTTCTACAAGCAGGTGGAAGGTGCCCAGGAGCGAATACAAGAGACAAAGAGGAGACAATGGACGCATAGAACACCGAACAGGCGCCGAAAGAATTAAGCAAGAATAACCGTTCAAATCCTACCCAGCAGACGAGCCAGTCCGCATCGAAAAACCACAAAGTCACCAGCCAACCAAAAATGACCAAGCCGCCATGACACCCCAAACCACGCCCACCGCTCCGGAAAGACCACTTGCCAAAAACCAGCCAGGCATGACCGATCAACAGCGACCGGCCTTCAGCCAGATAATCTCCCACTCTGCCGCGCCCGGAACTCGCTAATCGTCCTTCTCAGGACTTTTAGCTCTCCCCCACCAATGCAGCCTACTTCGCACCAAGACAAGCAAGAAAATCGGTAACCAAGGCACACTCAAGCGCCTTCAAGAAACAAAACGACCTAGAGTCAGCACATAAACAAGGACTTGATATAGTCACGGCTCAAAAAGGAGCAGACTGAAAGAGTCAAGGAGTTTTGCAATTTTTGTTTTCTAAATTCAATTCAATTCAGTGATGGTGGCTTAGTTAGCGCTGTACTACAGTGAGGTGGAGTCGTGTCCTTAGTATATCCATGGGAACGGATCGGATTGATTAGTGAATGTAAAAGCTATCAACGCAGGCGTTTCGAATAAGGACGGCCACCTTTGTTGAGGCTTGCTACACGTTGTAATGTTCTTTGTAAATAAAAGATTATGTGTGTACACGGTAGGTGTGTGTTTTGAGTGTGTCTAGGGTAGTTAAGTCTGTTAGCTGGCCCACATAACGAGCCATAGGAAGTTGATTAATAAAATAGGTCCCTGGCAGATAATGACAGCTTGTCCCGTGGAATTTGTTTTTTTTACCCAATGGATTAGTAATAGCTTAACAGATAACATTCAGCTAAGTTATTTACGATAGCAATATTTATATATATTATTAGTAATTTTGTGACACGTGGCGTTTATAGTTGTCTTTTCGCAAAGTTTGCGCTAGAATATATTGGTAATTGTTCTCTTAAAAATTAGATTTAGCTTTTGAGATGATTTCCTAATGTATGAATGACGTTGCTATGATGGCTTCCTTAATTAGTGACAACGTGATTGAAATCATCTCTTAATAGTAGATAGCTAGATCGAGATTTAACTTATATCATTATAGAGGCTAGTTTGTGATCATGTGTTATATTGTGTTGCTATTGCATCGACTGAATGTCCTTAGAAACAATAACTGATTGTGTTAGGAACATGTGGTGTTTTGACGAGTAGGATAAACGACAAAGACATAGTGTGCAAGTAATATATGTGTGAATTGTTGGCGACATGCAGAGTGATTGAGGCAAGAACCTACCAGCTCCAACTGAGGTCCTCCATCTTCAGAAGTGTTATTCATTGTGAACTCTGTTCATCTTACTGTTTCAAGAGGCATCATGGATCCCAGCCTGGAGAACATATAAGTTGTGTCTTGATGGTGGTGTTGTGGTCTTGTTTTCTTGTCCGTGGTGTTCCACAAAGTCGTCTTTGGAACAGTGGTGCCGTTCATTGTCTATCGTTCTAGTCTATCCTCTTTCATCGTTGATAATATTTGTGTGGGAGGTTGGCTGGGCTAGAAGTTAGTTATCTATAGGTCTGTTAAGTGCTAGGATAACGTACTTTTACGTTAAGCGGTGCCAAGATCATTGGCTCGATTTCAATTTGTTTTTATCTCGGGTCGATCATCGAAGAACAAGCTAGTGGCGTCTTCTTGGTTATTTGTCTTGGTAATTTATCGTTGTGCTTTCTTGTCTATAAGTGTTCACTTAGCAGTTTGTTATCGTTCATTGAGTAGCGTTAGATTGAGATCAAAACCGATTTCTCAAAGGTGTTTTTGTTTGTGATTTTGTTACATGTTGTGATACTAGTGACGTTATATTATCTGTATAATATAAATTTTTTTTTTCTGGGAACACACATCATCATTTAATTCAAAATAAATTGTTAAGAAATATATTTCTGAATCTTTGACCAAAACTGACTGTCAGTACATTCCAACAATCCAAATTGTTTTTCTAAAGTGCTATTATACTATTTTGAAATTTAAATTATATTATTATTGTATATTATCATACAATGTTGTTATTTGTATTTTTTTTTCTTTCTAATTGTTGTAGTTCACGTTTTATTTATTATTTTGAAAGAAAGTTCACTGGTTTGTTGTAACACCTATAGCATTTCAAGATGTCTAGCCTCGCTGATTTCATTGAGCTGGTCTGTGTCTTAAAAGAGGTGCAGTACTCATCACACAGTGTCTTAAAAAAGGTGCAGTAATCACCACACAGTGTCTTTAAAAAAGGTGCAGTAATCACCACACAATGTCTTTAAAAAGGTGCAGTAATCACCACACAGTGTCTTAAAAAAGGTGCAGTACTCACCACAGTGTCTTAAAAAAGGTGCAGTACTCACCACACAGTGTCTTAAAAAAGGTGCAGTAATCACCACATAGTATTTTAAAAAGGTGCAGTACTCACCACAGTGTCTTAAAAAAGGTGTAGTACTCACCACACAGTATCTTAAAAAGGTGCAGTACTCACCACACAGTATCTTAAAAAGGTGCAGTAATCACCACACTGTCTTAAAAAAGGTGCAGTACTCACCATACAGTGTCTTTAAAAAAGTGCAGTAATCACCACACAGTGTCTTAAAAAAGGTGCAGTACTCACCACACAGTGTCTTAAAAAAGGTGCAGTAATCACCACACAGTGTCTTAAAAAAGGTGCAGTAATCACCACACAGTATCTTAAAAAGGTGCAGTACTCACCACACAGTATCTTAAAAAAGGTGCAGTATTCACCACACAGTATCTTAAAAAGGTGCAGTAATCACCACACAGTGTCTTAAAAAAGGTGCAGTACTCACCACACAGTGTCTTAAAAAAGGTGCTGTACTCAACAGACAGTGTCTTAAAAAAGATGATGGTACTCACCACAGTGTCTTAAAAAAGGTAATGGTACTCAGCACAGTGTCTTTAAAAAAAAAGGTGATGTACTCACCATACACAGTCTTTAAAAAAGGTGATGGCACTCACCACAGTGTTTTAAAAAAAAGGTGATGGTACTCACCACACAGTATCTTAAAAAATGGTGCAGTACTTACCACACGGTGTCTTTTAAAAAGGGTGCAGTACTAACCACACAGTGTCTTAAAAAAAGGTTCAGTACTCGCCACACAGTGTCTCAAAAAAAGGTGCAGTACTCACTACACAGTGTCTTTAAAAAAAAGGTGATGATACTCACCACACTGTGTCTTTTACACTAGCACTAAAAAAACATTCTACCGAAAAAAAAGTACTTGTGAAATTCTCCATCAGTTGTCTCTATGCCTCCCCAATCACGGACTGTAGTGTCTGCTCCAGTTCTTGTTCCTCCTCATCGCTTAAGTCGCTGATGGTGATAAAACTGGATGTAGAGGTGGAGTTGTGGATGGAGTGGAAATCAAACGGGTTCTCTGCTTTCCTAGCATAATCAAGAAACACAACAAAGTCACTGATGGTTATAAAACTGGATGTAGAGGTGGAGTTGTGGATGGAGTGGAAATCAAATGGGTTCTCTGCTTTCCTAGCATGATCAAGAAACACAACAAAGTCACTGGTGGTGATAAAACTGGATGAAGAGGTGGATGGCGTGGAAATCAAATGGGTTCTCTGCTTTCCTGGTATGATCAAGAAACACAACAAAGTCACTGATGGTTATAAAACTGGATGTAGAGGTGGAGTTTTGGATGTAGTGGAAATCAAACGGGTTCTCTGCTTTCCTAGCATGATCAAGAAACACAACAAAGTCACTTATGGTGATAAAACTGGATGAAGAGGTGGAGTTGTGGATGGAGTGGAAATCAAATGGGTTCTCTGCTTTCCTGGCATGACCAAGAAACACAACAAAGTCACTGACGGTGATAAAACTGGATGAAGAGGTGGAGTTGTGGATGGAGTGGAAAATCAAACAGGTTCTCTGTTTTCCTAGCATGATCAAGAAACACAAAGTCACTTATGGTGATAAAACTGGATGAAGAGGTGGAGTTGTGGATGGAGTGGAAATCAAATGGGTTCTCTGCTTTCCTAGCATGATCAAGAAACACAACAAAGTCACTGGTGGTGATAAAACTGGATGAAGAGGTGGATGGAGTGGAAATCAAATGGGTTCTCTGCTTTCATGGTATGATCAAGAAACACAACAAAGTCACTGATGGTGATAAAACTGGATGAAGAGGTGGAGTTGTGGATGGAGTGGAAATCAAATGGGTTCTCTGCTTTCCTGGCATGACCAAGAAACACAACAAAGTCACTGACGGTGATAAAACTGGATGAAGGGTGGAGTTGTGGATGGAGTGGAAAATCAAACAGGTTCTCTGTTTTCCTAGCATAATCAAGAAACACAACAAAGTCACTGATGGTGATAAAACTGTATGTAGAGGTGGAGTTGTGGATGGAGTGGAAATCAAAGGGGTTCTCTGCTTTCCTAGCATGATCAAGAAACACAACAAAGTCACTGATGGTGATAAAACTGGATGTAGAGGTGAAGTTGTGGATGGAGTGGAAATCAGATGGGTTCTCTGCTTTTCTAGCATGATCAAGAAACACAACAAAGTCACTGATGGTGATAAAACTGGATGTAGAAGTGGAGTTGTGGATGGAGTGGAAATCAAATGGGTTCTCTGCTTTCCTGGTATGATCAAGAAACACAACAAAGTCACTAATGATGATAAAACTGGATGAAGAGGTGGAGTTGTGGATGGAGTGGAAATCAAATGGGTTTTCTGCTTTCCTGGCATGATCAAGAAACACAACAAAGTCAGTGATAGTGATAAAACTGGATGAAGAGGTGGAGTTGTGGATGGAGTAGATGGAGTGGAAATTAAATGGGTTCTCTGGTTTCCTAGCATGATTCAGAAACACAACAAAGAAATAGTGGTCAAACATTGAAACCTCGTTAACACAAACTCGATGAACCTTTTCTAAAAGTAAGTTGAGTAAAGGATTCTTTTCTATGCCGCCCCCCCCCCCTCAGGCTTACTGGGCATATGGGGCTAGACCTATATTTTATAGAACAAATAACACTCTGTGGGTGATGTGGTCAACATCAAGCAGGTTGCCTTGACTTCCAAGGCCTTTACCTTGTACCCATTTAAGGCTGGGTCGATCTGGGAGCCAAGGTCATTTTTTAAAAGTCCTTAACCCATGATTTTAGGATCCGCAGGCGAATGTCTAGCTGCTACGCCACGCAAGCACCCAGTTAACCCTTTCACTCCTTAAAACCTTCAAAAAATGATTTTTTCAACATTTTGTTAACAAAACAAAAAAAAAAAAACGTTATATTTCTTTAAAGCTCTGCCCTAAGAAACTAGAGAAAGAGAAAAGAAAACATAAATTTGGATTTAGTTTTTTTTTAAAGCCAGGTGGTTGAAACGTAAGACCACCGAGTAGGCAACACGCCTACCAGCTACTGTGTCACCCCGGTCCTAAAGTCCATAACAAGATGGAATTTTGTGTATTTAGAGTCCTTGTTTACGTAAAAAATGGATTTGTAACATTAAAGAGCTTCATCATCGACACAGAATGACAATAATCAATGCTTCCCAGATGGAGTAATAGATGGCAAACTATTCCTTTCCACAACGCCTAACGACAGAAGTGGAAACTGATGATGATTTACGTGAAAAAGGGGAGCTTTATGAAGGGAAGTAATCACCTATTACAAACGCAGCAGAGAATAAAAACTGCTTTCTTACACTTGGACTGAGAAAAACAGGTTTTGTTGACGCAACTGTGGAGAGTGAAATGGCGAAATCCTAAGTTTATTATGATGTCACAATGACAAAACAATCAATTTTTTTTCCATCCCGAATAATACATTTAAAAATAAATGTTTGTGTAAATATAATCTTACACAAAAGGGTAAGCAGAGTAGAAATGCATAGCTTTTTTTTGGCAAATGTACTATTCACCGTTCTTTTTAGGATGACAATTTTCGTTATTTGAAGCCCTACTCTGGCTATTGCCAGGGGCCGCAATATAGCCAGGTCATAAATATGGCCTAATGGCTGAACGCAGTTTCTGGTACCTCTCCACGGTGATCCTCATCCACATGGTGGCACATTGTGTCATCGGGTGTTTATCGCTTGTGTGATGTCCTGATGGGGTAGAAAGTCAGTCAGTCCTTTTGGAAAGAGCTAAGACAAGTAACAAAGTGGATACATACCTTTGTTTCTTTTTGAAATGCTCTTGTCTGAGAAGTTTGCACATATCTTTAGTGGACTGCTCTCCTTGTCTGCCTGCCAGCCAGTAAGTTCTCATCTCTCCTTTACCCTGTCATTAAAACATGAAACGTGTTCATTTAGCAAAAACAAAACAAAAACAAGTATAAAAGTTCTGTCGTGTCTTCTTGTAGTCCATACCGTGTGACGTTGGTAGTCATTTCTGTCCACAACATTTCTTTTCCTGTACTTTCAATAATTTCTGACACACATGATGTTCCATTGTCGTACGTGGTGTTGGTAGTCGTGTCTGTCAACAAACTTTCTACTCGTGTACTTTCAATAATTTTTGACACACATTATGTTCCACAGTCGTACGTGGCGTTGGTAGTCGTGTCTGTCTACAACCTTTCTTCTCGTGTACTTTCAATAATTTCTGACACACATGATGTTCCACAGTCGTACGTGGCGTTGGTAGTCGTGTCTGTCCACAATCTTTCTTCTCGTGTACTATCAATAGTTTCTGACACATACGATGTTCCACAGTCGTACATGGCGTTGGTAGTCATGTCTGTCTACAACCTTTCTTCTCGTGTACTTTCATTAATTTCTGACACATATGAAGTTCCATAGTCGTACGTGGCGTTGGTAGTCATGTCTGTCTACAACCTTTCTTCTCGTGTACTTTCATTAATTTCTGACACATATGAAGTTCCATAGTCGTACGTGGCGTTGGTAGTCATGTCTGTCTACAACCTTTCTTCTCGTGTACTTTCATTAATTTCTGACACATATGAAGTTCCATAGTCGTACGTGGCGTTGGTAGTCGTGTCTGTCTACAACCTTTCTTCTCGTGTACTTTCATTAATTTCTGACACATATGAAGTTCCATAGTCGTAACTGGCGTTGGTAGTCGTGTCTGTCCACAATCTTCTGTCTCGTGTACTTGCAGTCGACTCTGACACAGATGATCTTCCATGCCATGATGTCAGACTTCCGCATCTTCTCTCTCAGTCAGGGGCCTGCTTGGTCTCGAGGCATGGTGTTCGCCTCGAGTGCTAGAGGTGCCGGGTTTAATCCGCAGTAAGAGTTGGAATTCTTTTCACGTGGACTAGGACTTCTTGTAATTGCCCCGGGTCTCTGGGTAGTAAGATCGAACACCCGTGTGCATTGTTGCGCACGTAAAAATCCATTGGCAGTTAATAATCGAAAAAAGTAGCTTAACGGCACTGCCCAGCCAAAGTATCTCAGGGTTCTCACCGGTGCTGCAGAGCCCGTGCACTGTGCTGAGCTTCTTCGCACTCAGACTTGAGTTAAAAGAAGAACGGAGATGTTATGGGTTACACCCGTGTGCCATGATGTTGATTTGTTGTTTAAAACCTTAACCACTCTCAGTCTTCCTTTATCTGATGTGCCAACACTAACTGCCCCCGCCATTTTGTCTACTGAGTTCACAAAACAGGCAGTTACACTGAGTAGAGTGTAAATTTGTATTTCACTTAGAAGAGATATGCCACAGTAGCTATGTTGCATTATTGAATACAAGTGTGCTGGGTGTTAAGTACTTACGGTACGAGAGAACCCATAGTAAGGGAGTATTGTTTCAATAGGAATATGCTTGAAACAGCTCTGACTTACCTTGACATGGATCTTTCCTCTGTAGACAGTAACGTAGCCTGTCTCTTTCAGGCAGTCACGACAGGGCTGGGTCAGGTGGATTCTTCCTGGCTGCAAATCGGGACACAATTATACACATATATATATATATATATATATATATATTCATACACACACACACACACACACACACACACACACACACACACACACACACACACATTAATCTATATATTTATTCAAATCAAAATAGGCGATTTTCAACCACCTGGGACGTTTCCTTTTTTACACCAAAACTGACGATTACTAAACCACTTAGGACCTATCTCATATACAACCGGACATTGTCAAATTAAAGATGACAGGTTGCCCCTTCCAACACCCTCCCCTTTTTCCCCCTTTTTTTTCCTCTTTTTTCAAAAGTCGAAATTCGCTGAAATGCTGAAACTTTTGAATGATGAATGTTGAATTAAGAATTGACATCATATCACTTGGGACACTTCTATAAACGCTCCATCCCCATCTTCAGCAGCAAGCGAAGAGTTTCAATTCCGATGGCGCCAGCAACTGTCTGATTGTATATCCGTCCCGCCTTTCCCTCCAGTGCCGGGCGTCGGCCAAATCCCATGGTAACTTCCCCTTTGAGAAGTTTAGTACAAAAGTTACGTCATTTCTTCTGGAAAGCTCTTTAACGATATATGGCAGGACCAGACAGCGTCACATTATCACAAACACAAACGACAAGTGAACGCTGCGGCTAGACAACCTTCATCAACACAGCAAATAATACCACATATGTCACAAATGCAAACAATAATATACTTAATCACTTAAAACTATAATACCAGTATCCTAGCCGGTGCTACAGAGCCTGTGCATTGTGCTGAGCTTGAGTTAGAAGAAGAACGGAGCACTTTTGGGTTACTACCCGCGTGCCATGATGTTGTTCAACACGGTACTGATGACAAGCTTCAGCATATCGCAAGGAGGATTTTCCTAATGTTAAAGTGAAGAAATGACTTCATTGCACCTTATTCTACCCCACTAGGCCCATCCTCTCCGCAGAGCAACTGAGAACATCGTACAAAGCACGAACTATGTAGCTTCAGCGACGACCACCACGGATTTTCGTTAAAACTGTGTACCGAAAGATTCAGTTTTCAAAACTCTACTGTAATAGGCGCTTTGTAGTGAGTACCGGCACCTTTGTTTCCAGCCCTGTCAATAACAAATGAACATTAATACATTCCTACCTCGCTGTTTGTCTGCATTCTGGCTGCTGTGTTCACGGTATCGCCAAACAGGCAATACTGGGGCGTCCTCTTTCCGACAATTCCTGCCACCACTCCTCCTGTATGCATACCTGTGGAACACGCTCAATTATAATGCTTTTAATCAGACATAATGTGTAAGACACTGGTTTTCAACATTTTTTTCCAGTGTCCCAGCCCTCCCCCTCCCCCTTTTTTGTTGTTGTTGAATATATGGTAAAACTCCCAGCAACCACCCCCCCCCCCCTTTTCCCCCTTTCCCTCACCTGTGAAAATATGGTAAGAGTATTTGGGAGGGAGGGGGGGGGGGGTTGTATAACAGATTGTTAGATATAAAACCAAACAAAAAAAGCAGATCAAACAAACACGCGTAAAATAAATGATGCGGTTATATTACCTTCATCAGGGCATATACAAATCAAGAATAAACAACACGAATACCCTAAAATCAATTAACTGACGTATCCCGAAACCGCCACGTTGAGGTCTTGCCAGTGGAATGAAGAGACACGTGTGGCCCATGAATAAATAGAGATATAAATGCAGCTAGTTTCAAAACTGGGTTGACGCCTGTGATGACCTTGCTTTGCATGGTCTCCACGATTACACTGTGGCAAGCAGAAAGTCCGTGCTACAAGTGACAGCACGAGATACTTGTGGCTAGTCGAGTAAGCGAGGGGAAGCCCGAGCTAGACTCGTGGTCAGTTGATCATCAGAAGTCAGAGAAGACGGTTGTATTAGTGGAAGATGTAGTTCGTAGTTTCGTGCGTGTGACCAGTATTTGAATATTTCGCGAGCGATAAAAGTGTGAATAATTGTGGAAACATGTCGATTAAATGTAACTGAATAAACTGCTAGTATGTACTAAGAAGCCGAGTGGCGTTTGTGTTTCAGTCCTAGACGTTAGAGCAGTGTGAGTAGTTGTGTTGCAGTAATCATCGAGAGTGTACCATGGCGAGAGCAGATATGTCGTGAGGCAAGGTACATGTCGAGTGACGTCGGCCTAACCAAGGTTCATTCTAACGTCCCTCTTGAAACTTCCTTGCGTCTCCCGGTTGAAAACCGCTGGTTTAAGAGATGAGTGGATTTACTTCATTGCTTGGGGTTCAGAGCGCCATAAACTGGGGTGTCAGGTCATTAAGGCCCCTCCCCACCCCTTGTCATTTTATTTCAGAAGCTAAATCCCCCACCCGCCACCCACCCACACACACAGACACACCCTTTTCTCCCTAATCATTGTGTAAGAAAGCTAAACAGCATTGCAATTCTCTTGATAAATGTTTGCTTTTAAAGATCAGTTTATTTCAAATGAAGGTACTCTAATTTTAGACGACCCCCATCTGGTAAGAAAATCCCTAGAACGTCTCATGGTATAGAGGGTAAAATAAATAGTAGTCGCTATTGATTTAAAAATAGCACTAACCTGAACCCTCATCCGCATGGTGGCACTTTGTGTCATCGGGTGTTTATCGCTTGTGTGATGTCCTACTGGGGTATAAAGTCAGTCAGTCTGCACCACATATGCTGTATTGTTTGTTTGTTTGTTTTAGTATCCAGAAGTCATGAGTTTAACCCTTAGGTTTGGTATTATGGATATCGCAACCTTTTGGCCTTGATTCCATTGTAAATACCGTAAATCTGAGAGAAATGTGGCTTTCCTGCCTACCCCCGGGATTGAACCCGGACCACAAGGAGTTCGTCACCCGGTCTCCGCGCAATCCGGTTTAGCCAACTACGCTAGAGAGCCGGGCAACCCTTCTATGAAATAGCACTGTCGAGGGAAATCCCTAAGAATTCCCTACGGAATCGCCTAAAATTAAAGTGTTGAAATAAAATTATTATATTTATTTATCATTTAGATAGTATTATTATTTTATTATTATGCTCTTCAATTAGAATTATATGCCTTTCCTGAAAAGGGTTAAGCTTTTACATTTTAAAGAGCAGAATTAGGGAGTCCCCGTGGCTAAGCGGCTAGACACTCGCTGCGGATCGGAAGGTCGTGGGTTCGCTCCCTGGCGGAGCCGGACTTTTTTCAAAAATGACCTTGGCTCCCAGGTCGACCCAGCCTTGAGTGGGTACCGGGTGCAGTCCCGGGAAGTAGAGGCGGCATGCATGATGCTGACCACATCACCCATCTTGTGTCAGTTGATCTATATAGGTCTAACCCTATATGCCCTATATGCCTAAAGGCGTGGAAAAGGGTCCTTTATATTTACTTTTAATAAGAGCAGAATTATCAGTGTAAATGAAACTGCCTATCTGACTCACCAATCCTGACTTGCATCCCGACTCCGGTGATCGGGTTTTTCACGTGCCTCGCGTTCTCCACCATCTCCAAAGCAAGGCCGGCCATCTTCTCGGCGTGGTCACTACATTTATCGGGCACGCCTCCGGCCACCATGTAGACTCCGTCACCGAGCGTCTCAACCTGGCAGAGTGAGTAATACAAATGTGCCTAGTTAGTCATGAATCTGAATGAACTGAGTTATCTGTATGCAGTTTGTTGGTTTCTTGCCTCTCAGGCAGATACACTCTGACTTCGAAGGAAGTACACAGTTAGTTGACTCTTACGACATGTTTGTTTGGGAGGTAGTTAATCTATTCTTGTTGTCCACACAATAGAGTAAAAAAAAAGTAAAAGACCCTTTCCATGCCTTTAGGCGTATAGGGCATATAGGGCTAGACCTATATTTTTATAGACCAATCGGAACTTGATGGGTGTTGTGGTCAACATCACGCCAGGCGCCTTTACTTCCCGGGACTGCACCCGGTACCCACTCAAGGCTGGGTCGACCTGGGAGCCAAGGTCATTTTAAAAAAAAGAACGGCTCAGCCAGGGAGCGAACCCACGACTTCCGATCCGCGGCGAGCGTCTAGCCGCTCCACCACGGGGACTCTGTCCCCACAATGAGACCCCAGAACCCACACGGGGACTCTACATGTTTACAGCATTTTATTGTTCAGACCCCAACTAAGAGCCCAAAGGAAAACACCTTACCTTAAACAGTTTATACTTCTCCACGAGTTTGTCATAGACTTCGGTGACGTTCTGAATACACTGGACAACTTGCATGGGCGAACCTTCTGTGCAGATGTCGGCAAATCTCACCAAATAGCTGAACAAGATAGTCACTTCGGCGAAAGCCTGGGGGGAGGGGGGAGAGAAATAAATGTTCTGTTTAAAAATAATAACTTTAAAGAAAAAAAAAAAACTAGTGGTGTAGCGGCCTGACCATTCCTGACAGAGCTGGGAAATAAAGGCGGCTGGCGTTTTGCTGACCACATCACCCACCAAACGCCGATTGGTCTATAAAGTATTGGTCTAGCCCTATATGCCTAGAAGCTTGAAGGTGTGGAAAAGGGCCCTTTACTTATTTGATGTGATTTAAATTAATCGCGTTTGCAACTACTGATCTGTTTGCAACTGCTGCTTCTGTCGATGATGTGCTGCATTTCTGATGTTGGAATGTTTGTGTTGGTACTTCTGATGGCTGCTTTATGCTTGTAATGCGCGTCTATGATAGTGGATATGCTGAGACTGCAGTCTGTGTCGGTTTTTTCCACATGGGACAATGATGGACGTTATTTGTGTTTTTCGTTGGCTCAAAATCGGAGCAACTATAGGATGACCCGTTCGCTGTGAAGATAGAACTGTGATTACCAGATTACAGATTAACTCTTACACACAGTACACAGACCACAGCTTCACATAAACACACACACACACACACACACACACACACACACACAAACACGTGTGCATGTATATAAGGGCTGTACCGAATAGTGATTTTCACTATTCGGACGAATACGAATAGCGGAACCAACTATTCGGCCGAATACGAATACGAATAGTGTATCATCATCATCAGGTGCCTTGCCGACTGGCGTGGGCGATTGTTCCTCGCCACAATCCGCGATCTACTGCAGCATGTATTAGTTCGTGTGCTGACACACCTCCATGCCATGCAACAAGACTGTCAAGAATCTTCTCTCGTTGTCTTCCTCTATCCCTCTTTCCACAGATCTTTTCAGTGGTCACAACATGTTTCATTTTCCCTCTTCTCATAACATGGCCGAAAAATGATGACTGTCTCCTTCTGATGTCTGTGATTAGTTGTCTTCGGGCTCCCACCTCTTTCAAAACCTCTTGGTTGATTTTTTTTGGGGCTGTCCAAGGTATTTTCAGCATTGTTCTGTAAAACCATATCTCAAGTTTATTTTCCACCAGTCCAGTGGGTCAGTGTGTCTTGGGATACAAGGCTCTGATAGGTAGTTATTCACTTCTGTTTCAATGCTAACTCGAAAGTCGCTATTCTGTACCTTCTGTACCTATTTTGTTAATGAGAGAGTAATTTCAGTCCATAGCAGTGTATGCAGAAACGGGTGTAAGGTAACCACTATTCGTATTCGGCCCGACAGCAACTATTCGGCCGAATACCGAATAGTTATTAAGTCCACTATTCGGCCCCGAAGCGAATACGAAGCGAATATTCGGTACAGCCCTAATATATATATATATATATATATATTCAGTACAACCTCTACACAATACACACAGTCTTTTACCTCTCGCACACACACATGTACACTCTCCTTTACACACACACACATAAAGCACAACCCCAATACATTGCACACAATCTCTAACCTCACACACATATA